GAATATCATTCTTCAAGTTAGAGATTCAGATTATTATTAACAGCATGGCTGTAGTTTATCTTACAACTTTGTTTTTTTGTATTCTAAAGAGGACAAACAGGTCCCTTTTCATAGGCCTATTATAAAACATTTATTGTAAGACTTTTCTGGCAGTGAAGAGTCACATACAATGCACTCACTATAAGGGGTCTGAACATAACAACACTGCTGTTTTTGAAGGAATAACTGGTATTACAGTTTTCTATAAAATGCATATAAACAATAGTAAGGTTTTAGACTTTAATTACCATCTCCGCCTAAAACAAAGTCACTCCTACCAGAATTGACTGCTTTGAACTAGAACCAGAAACGGTTGATATCACTATATTATAGTTGCTCTCACGTGGAGATGGCTGGACATTCAAGGCGACTTTGAAGTACAATCTGAATCAACAGACACTTGTACCAAGTTAAAAACCACTGTAGCCATATTAAGTGTAGCAGATGAAACTATTCAGTTAAGGGTTAAAGGTGAAGAACAGGAAATAGGGACAAGCTTACAGACCTACAAAAATAGTAGCAAGTCATTATTTTTCAAAGGTCAAGCAATAAATGAGGCCAACAAAAACAGCACAGAATCATGAGATACTATAACACATGTAAATGAAAATGGAAAAATTCTTCCCCTATTCCCATGTTTTTGGTATCTCACTGAAGGCTGTTGCAAGAAAAAAGATTTCAGCTATATGCTTTTACTTGCCATTGATCAACTGTTTATTTGCCTAAACTCTGAAGAAACGAACCAGAAGATAGGACCAATAAAAGGAACCAGAAAGTTAGGTGGTTTCCAACAGAGAATGATAGAAATCATTATTAAATTAGGGTACTTAAGGAATCAATTAAAGGATATAGATGTCAGAATAATGTTAAAATAAGCAAGAATGGGATGAGAGGGTCACCATCTGGGAGCAAAGGAAACAGACTGATGAGCAGCAATCAGCAAACTTATTTCCTCATCCAAGAGCATAGAAGAAATTATGCCATTGTGCCAGATGCCAGAAGATTTCTAACCATGCACCACTGAAGTAGAGGGTGGAAGAGAAAAAAAACACACGCCACATTATAAGGACACACACCAAAATAACTACGGAGCTTTAGAGATCCTGGCTTAAAAAGTATGGAGAAAACAAAAGGAACAGATGCTCACTTGGCCGGCTCTCAATGAAACTCATTAAAATCGTCACCCTGTCCTTGTATCGGTGCTCATGTTAAGATTTTATCTTGTTTAGCCAGAAGTCACCCACTTGTGATAAATCTGAGAGCACTGTGGCCAAAAAGGAGACAGATTATTTTTAAAGGCCCAAATAATCGGTTTCCTATCTCAATGTACAAATGCTAGCTATAAAATAGGGTCAATTAGCACTTGCTAGTTGTAACTAAATGACTGAAAAGTGAAATATATAAATATTTATAATTTATAATATTCATATTTTACAGCAAATCATTAAAACATTCTAATTTAAGAGACACGTAAATGACCGACTCTTATCTTTTTAAACTATCATTTTAAATAAATTCTGACATTTTGTATATGGATCATTTCCATTGATATTTTCTATGATATATTTTCAGTTGATAAAGTACTGCATGTTTTAAGAAATAAGATAAAAATAATGAAAAATATTGCTGTTCTTTGATTTTTGTAGCAAAGGATACCAGTCCTGGCTCTAATAATAATAGTAACTGAGAGTCTAAGTGTATAATACAATAGTTAAAATTGAGAATGTTGTAACAGTGACAAAACAGTTGTTGAAGGCAATAATTTTGCAGATATGCAACGAAAAATCTAGAAACAGAGCGCATACTGGAATTTTACTTATTCTTGGAATAATCAAAATGGCTGATGTCTAAATTTAGGTCAAAACTCTTGAGTAATTAGAGATACTTAGAAAATCTAAGTCATAGTTAATATGATTATTAGACTGTAAGATCTCTAATATGTACAACCCTTGCAATGGTGTACATTATACTTAATTACATTTAAAAACCATGAACTTACAATTTATTTATTTTCTTACACAAACCTTACTTTTTTGTTATAATCCATAATTAGTATCAAGCAACAAATATGATTTAGACTAAAGTGTACAGAATCGAGTACAGAATCGAAAAACTCTTTTGCAATTAAAGAGCTGGCGATTCCAACTTGTAATCTAACAATCAAATTTGTTGATGCCTGCTATATCATTTTTAAAATATAAAGTCCTATAATAGTCTTTAATAGCAGCAGTGAGTGAAGATGTCTATAGATAAGGCATTGTTATGATGTAATATAATATATATTGAGTAATATTACTTACTTTGGCCACACAATTTTCAGTCTTCATAGCAGTGCTTGCTAGACATACTGTCTCTTGGTTTAAGCAGAGTCTGGTACAGCTGTTATAAGTCTGTAAAGAGAGGTGTGGTGGGTTGGGTTTTTTTAAAACAGGTTTAAATATTATCATATATAGTTTTTAAATTCTGCCCTATTTCTCAAAATCAACAAATGGATCCTATATGTAAATTCCAGATTTATGAGTGCTGAGGGACAAGGCAGACAGGGGAAAACAAAGAGTGAAAGACCATGAGAGCCACTGATGTGCCCATGAATGAGTACGTAAACAGCCGTGGTTCACTGTATGTATGGAAGGTGGGGGTGTTAGTTATTCAAAAATGGGCAAAGGACTTGAATAGATATTTCTCCAAAGAAGATATACAACCAGCACATGAAAAATGGTCAACATCACTAATAACTAGGGCAATGCAAATCAAAACTATAATAAGATACCATTTCACACCTATTAGTAAACCAACAACAAAAATACACACAGATTACAAGTGTTGGCAAAGATGTGGAGAAATTGGAACCATTGTGCACTCACTGTTAATGGAAATGTAAAATGGTATAGCCACCGGACAGTACGGTGGTAGTTAAACAATTAAAAACAGAATTACCATATGATCCAACAATTCCACTTTTGGGTATATACCCCAAAGAATTAAAAACAATCCTGAATATATATTTGTATGTAGTGTTCATAGCAGCATTATCCACAAAAGCTAAAATGTGGAAGCAACCCAACTGTACATTGATGGGTTAAGGGATAAGCAAAATGTGGTATATACACACAATGGAATACTATGCAGCCTTAAAAAGGAAGGGAAATTATGACACACACTGTAACATGGATGAACTTTGAGGTCATTAGGCTAAGCGAAATAAACCCATCACAAAAAAAGTAAATACTGTATAGTTCCACTTATGTGAGATATTTAGAATAGTCAAAATCATAGAGACAGTGGTTGCCAGGCACTGGGAGAAGAGGGAAATGGAGAGTTATTGTTTAACAGGTACAGCGTTTCATTTTTACAAGGTGAAAGAGTTATGGGGATGGATGGTAGTGATGGTTATACAACAATGTGAATGTATTTAATACCACTGAACTGTACATTTTAAAATGACTAACATGGTAAATGTTATGTTACATGTATTTTACCACAATTAAAAAGAAAACTAGGCCCGGCCGGCATGGCTCAGTGGTTGAGCATCAACCTATGATCCAGGAGATCAAGGTTCAATTCCTGGTCAGAGCACATGCCCCGGCTGTGGGCTAGATCCCCAGCAGGGGACGTGTAGGAGGCAGCAGATCAATGGCTCTCTCAACATTGATGTTTCTTTCTTTCTCTCTCTCTCTCTCTCTCTCTCTCCCTCTCCCTTCTTCTCTCTGAAATCAATAGACATATGAAAACAAAGAAAACTGGTTATACTTTATGGTAGGTAAACATTATTAACTGGCCAATATGTTAATAAAAATGTTTCCTTTTAATTGAGTTTTTACTGATGGTACAAATCATGGTCCTCAAAGTTTAGCATGCATCAGAATCATCTGGAGGGCTTGGTAAAACACAGATTGCTAGGCCCCATCCCCAGAGGTTCTGAGAATTTACATTTTTAACAAGTCCCCAGTTGATGTTAATGCTGCTAGTCTAGGAACACTCTGAGAACTACTGGTATAAATGTGTGTGTTGAAATTAAAGAGAAAAATCTGAAGATACAAGTGATTTCTTAAAACTAACAATAGGAAAGAATCCATTTTTTAAAAATTCTAGATATACGGAACAGTTGTAAAAATAGGTATGAGTTCCTGTATACTCTTCCCGCAGCTTCCCCTTACGTGAATGTCTTACATAACTACAGAACATTTATCAAAACTAAGGAATTAACATGGTACAATATAAAGAACTTGAGTTTCACCACTTTTCCCACTATTGCCTCTTTTCTGTTTAGGATCTAATCCAAGATCCCACATTTCATTCAGTTGTCATGTCTCTTCAGTTTCCTCTAATCTGTTACAAATTCTCATCTTTCATGACTCTGTCACATCTGAAGAGTACTGATTAATTAATCTATGGAATGTCCCTCAGTTTGGGTTTGTCTCATGTTTTCTCACGATCAGGTTGAGGTTATACATTATTAGGAAGGATATCACAGAGGTGATGTGCCTGTCTCAATGTATCAAGTCAGGATATATGTTGATGAATACTTCTGGTCATGTTAACCTTGATCACTTGCTTAAGATCGTGTATGCCAAGATTCCGAATTATAAACTTATTTTTCTTCCTTTTATATTGGGGAAAACACTTTGAGATTATGCAAACACTCTTTTTCTGCTTCAACTTTGCCCACTAATTTTAGTATCCATTGCTAGATCTTGCCTATGGTAATTTTTATTGTAGTGTTCTATTGGTAATTTTTAAATTTCTCCCTTTCCTTCTATATTTATTAACTGGAATTTTTCTATAAGGAAGAGCTATGATTTCTTCACCCATTTACTTATTTGTTTATTTATATCAGCAATGGTTGCATAAATATTTTAAATAATTCATTTTTGGTCAATTATCATTCTTTGAAAAGAGAATAAGTAGACAAAAATAAAATTGAAAAAACGAGAAAAAATATTATAAAATTGGTTTTCATTTAAACAAGTTGAATTTTTTATTTTATTTTTTAATTTTTTAATTTTATTTTTATATCTTTATTGATTTCAGAGAGAGGGCAGCAGAGGGAGAGAGAGATAGAAACACCAATGATGAGTCATTGGGGATGGAGCCCGCAACCCGGGCATGTGCCCTGACCAGGAATGGAACCTCGATCTCCTGGATCCTAGGTCGATGCTCAACCGCTGAGCCACACCCGGCCGGGCACAAGTTAAATTTTTAAAAAATCCACTTAACAGTTTTATTCTTAAATCATTTAACTTGAAATTATTTCAAATCACATATTTTAAAAGAATAAATTGGATCATCTGACATTAGTATATATAGGCCTCTGGTACATTTATATCTGGGCTCAGGGTTAAGTACTTCTTTTGTAACTACTAATACCACAAACATTTACTATTCATGTACAGACAACATACAATTTTTAAAAAATAAACTGTGTTTTAAAAAGACATTTATGTAATAATTGGTATATACTGAATCAAATAAAACTTTAAGCAAAAAAAATTCTTGTTCCAATAATGGTAGAAATGTTTGTATTAAATTAACCCTCTAGAGATAATAATTATAAACCATAGAAAAATATTTTAAAATTACTTAAAGGCAGAAGATTGATCTAAAGCAGGCAGAAACTGGGGGAAGAAGTGGACTGACCTTGGAAGAGGATAACCACTCTGGGTGAGATCCANTTTTTTTTTTTTTTTCAGAGAGCAAAGGCGAAGGAAAGTAGGTGGTAGAAATGAAAAACTTGTATTAAAATTTTGTAGTGACATATAGAGCAACTTAAGGTGCCATCCTTGTTGATCTGGAACAATGAGAATTAGCTTACTGTACTCATATTAGAGCAGCTTAATTACTGATGATGGTGGGCTTAGAGTAGGTAGGATAAAGAATTATTAAAGCACTCCTATAAAAATTTGATGACCCTAAATTATGACACTAGTGATATTTGGTGAAATTTAATGGTAATCTTAAATGTGTACAGCATTTACATAATACCTACCAGACTCGTAAAAATCTCCACTAAGATTAAGAAGGTAAAGATAAGATTGGAAATGGGCTGGGCTGAAATCAGGCTACATGAGTGGTTAGACATTGCTTGAATTACCAAGGGTGAATATTCATGAGCATTTACAGGAGTAATGGCTACGTAATATCAGATTGCAAACTTAGCAGCAAAAACATAAGTAACTAAAGCATCTATAGTAGAGTTGCAATTTATGTCATTCATAAAGCAGCCTTAATCCAATACATGAACTAAACCATTAGTTTTCATCATAATGTTAAGTTATAATGTGTATATGTTTACCCTGGGAGATTGTAGAGTGGACTTTATTGAGATGCCTGAAATTGGGCTAAATCCAATGTATAATGTAGTTTGGGTAGCCTGCTTAGAGATAAAAAGGTGAATCATGGTGTTTACAATCCAAGGAGTCTATGATTCATAAATTATTATCTGAAATGAAATCCAGAGAATAAATGTGGCTTGTGACTGCATATATATGTCATAAAGGTCAAGACAGCAGCACATATCCAAGCTAAATTGCTCTCTGAAAACAGAGGATGAATCTAAAAACATCAGCTTTTCTCTGTCACTGAAAGTCTACCAATCAATCCAGCCCCTATACTGACCAGCCTCTATGTGCCTAACTCCCTGCTGAAGGTAATGAGGGAAATAGGAGTATTACTTGAAGATAATTACCATCTGGGTGAACAATTATAAAATAACCCAAGACTAAGTGTTTCTAATAGTATGACATTACGTATTAGTTCTATAGAAATTCAGGAATAGTATCGCTTGGTGTGAACTAATGTAATAATATTCCTAAAATATGAATACTGACAAAAGTAGCTAACATTTATCAACAGCTCATAATGCCATGCACATAGTTATTATTTATTATTATTTGTTATGATGATTGCATGTCTCATGCACTGTGATAAGAATTACCTTCAGCATTTTAAAATAATCACATAAATTAGTTACTATTGATAACATGAATTCCACAATATATAGTAAATACATAGATAAATTAATAAACTGAGTGAAAAAAATTAGGCTTGAAAATTTAAAAATTTGCTTAAGTTCATAGGGCAGAAGGGTTTGAAATTTAAGCTGAGGCCTAGAATATGGGTAACTTTTGGACAGGAAAGGGAGGACCTGCCAAATATAAAAAATGGCAAGAGGAAAAGTATACAAGCAGAATGAGAACCACTTGCTTATGGGGAGAGATGGTAAGTCTAACTAGGACAGGGAGTATGTGTGCTGAAGTATTAAGGAGTACATTTTGGGGGACAGTGCAGTTTCTTGAAGTCTAAAAGGAGAGTTTGAAAATAATGCAGTGACTGTAAGCAGAGGGACTTGTAATTTTGGTTTAATAAAGGTGTAAACTGAAAGCATTAGATT